ACAATGACCAATGGCCTGATAAGCATCCTCCTAGGAGAGAGAGAGACTATCTGCCAGGGAGTGGGGGCAGAAAGGTAGGTAAGTAAAGTTTTTCTGCATAGGAAAGCCTTTGAAGAGTATAGATGTCTCACCTAATCCAAATCACTGCAAGAGTTCTGAAGTTCTCCATTAAACTGAAGCAAAACTGTTTGCCATACAGACTTGACTTGGTTTGAGGAGTTGCAGGGACTGAAATGGTTTCAGTTTCCAACTTTCTTAACTGAAAAGCATCAATATGATGACCATAGTTTCTGAATCCAAAGTGGATTTAACCTAGGATCTTACCTGAAATACAAGGGCACGTTATCATGGTCTAGAGAAGACCACGGATCTATTTGGAAGGGCAGGAAAAGTGGAAGATACCTTTGATTTGGGTGATTTTTGCCTTCTCCCATAAACTAAAGCAATTCACATCTTCTTAGGGGCTCTGCCAGCAATACTGAGGCTGAAGGGAACAGAGGAGAGAGAAGCACAACATAAAATATAAAATTCCATCATCTCCATTCAAACATCAGCCTGGAGGTGAAAGAATGAATTAGGTGGTTGGTCATTTTTCTCCCAAACTCAGGATCCAGTGCCTCTGGGCTTTGGAAGGTAATGGAATTGAAAGTTCTGGAAACTGTCTAGTGCTCTGACCAAAATTCCTAGCCAAAAGCAATCTTATCCGGTGAGGAAGGTGACTCTCATTCAGTGTAAGGGGGAACAAATCTACTTTGTCTTTCTTTTGCCAATCCAATCCTCCATCATGGATAATGCAGTGCTATCCAGGAGCAGCAGAGCTCACCCAGGAAAATGGGCAGGGCCAATCTCCCAGTACCCCAGGGGGGCCTTGAAGTTTCCCATTTCACTGAGCTTGAAAAATCACCCACTACTCCAGCCTCCCTGAATCATGTGCAGACTGGAGATGACTGTTAAACAGACAGAGCTCTGACTCACCTACAGTGGAATAATTAAGTGACTCTTCTCTTCATATATGGTACAGTGAGAATAAGCACCTAAAGGCCAGGTGCAGCGGCTCACACCTGTACTTCCAGCACTTTGGGAGGCCAAGGAGGGGCAGATGAAGACAGGAGTTTGAGACCAGCCTGGCCAACACGGCGAAACCCCATCTCCACTAAAATTACAAAGATTAGGCAGGCGTGGTGGCACACATCTGTGGTCCCAGCTACTTGGGATGCTGAGGCATGAGAATTGCTTGAACCCAGGAGGCAGAGGTTGCAGTGAGCCAAGATCATGCCACTGTCCTCCAGCCTGGATGACAGAGTGAGGCTCTGTCTTGAAAAAAAAAAGGAAAAACGAAGCTCCTAGAGAGTGAAAGGAGCTTCTGGGAACCACGTTGAGTCCTCTCCAGGAACAGCCTTGATCACCACCAGCCTGGTTTTTCTTTCTGGAAAGGAAACATGTCCTTATGACTCTCCTTTATTTCCTTTCTGTTGCTTGAGTTATTGTTGGTACCTCAAAAACAAGTGGGTCAAGGGAAGGAGAGTAAAAACTGAAATCTCCTCCATCCTGCACGGTCTTCTTTTTTATTTTGAGACAGTGTTTCACTCTTGTTGCCCAGGCTGGAATACAATGGCGTAATCTCAGCTCACCACAACCTCTGCCTCCTGAGTTCAAGCAATTCCCTGCCTCAGTCTCCTGAGTAGCAGGGATTACAGGCTTGCGCCACCACGCCCTACTAATTTTGTGTTTTTAATAGAGATGAGATTTCTCCATGTTTGTCAGGCTGGGTCTCGAACTCCCAACCTCAGGTGATCTGCCTGCCTCGGCCTCCCAAAGAGCTGGGATTACACAGTGCTGTGGGCCGCCGTGCCTGGCCAGTCCACACGCTCTTAAAGGTTGAGAGGGAGAAGCTAAAACAGGTGCCTAGAATAAGGTTTTAAACTAAACTGTGGACTCCTTAGCCAACGCATGTATTCACTGGCCAGTGCAGGCCTCAGAGCACCTGCACCACTGTCCCCTATCCTGGGGGTGGTTTGGACTGTGGGTGTCATCAGCACAAACGGGCAACGTGTCCTAGAGTGACTTCCTAGACTAGCTATAGCCTGCCCATAGAGTAAATCTCTCAGGGCACTGATGGAAAACAAGAATCGAATGGGGACCACAAACTGTAGGAAAGGTACCATCAAGGGCACAGAGGACAAAATATAAATATAGTTTTTCTTTTATTTCGAGAATTTAAAAGTTCCATTTACCCAGTTCATAAGAACTGTGAGCATAAGAAACTACTAAACGATAGGAAGTGCTAAATATAGGACTAAAAGATGTAGGAGGCTGGAAGAGAAAAGGGCAGCATCAAAAAACACAAATCATAATGGAAAGGACCCAGAGGAGGCCACTGTACAGTGAAAGACCAGAGGGAGGTGACTTGCCCCCTTTGAAAAATGGAGCAGAGCTGGGTCAAGCGCCCAGGACTCTGCACTCAGGGGGATGGGCTGTGCACTCTGGTGTCACTGCTTCTCTGGAGGGAGGCTGGAGAGGCTGAGAAAAGTGTGAACACACAGAGGAGGTGAGAGGAGGGGATGAAGATGGCAGAGAAGAGAGGAGGAAGCAGAGATAGAAAACTTGGGAGAGGGAGACGGGAGGAGAGCAGAGAGGGTATGAATGAGCAATATCAATTCATTCACTCACATTAGCTTTTCAAGAGGATTAACTCTAAACAGACTATTTTCTAACTCAACTTGGTTTGAATCACAGGTTACTGCTGCCCTTCCAATTGTTCAATTGCTAATTCTTTAAAAAACTTATTTCCAGAATACAATATAGCATTATTAACCATAGCCAGCATGTGTACAATAGATCTCTTGACCTATTCCTCCTAATCTGAGATTTTGTTGCTTTAATTCTTCAATCTCGAGAAAGGGTCAGCTCCTACAGCTCACTGAAATGTGGGTTTCTGGCAAAAGCAATTATGCCTGCAGGCTGGAAGACAGCAAGAACCACACGTTCTCCATTTCTCAGCCCGAGAAATCAAGGATATGTGACTGACTACCTGTTCAGTTCTAAGCCAAATACTGCTAAAAACCATTGTAGGGAGGCGTCCTGTGGGTTGACCAGCTGGCCACAGGCATCTGGCTTTTAACAGTCCACATTAGCTGCTAATCATGGTTAGTCAATACTTTTCTAAACTGGTGCATGCGTGCCGGTATTCTGTAATGTTACTGACTTCTCAAAGAGGGCTCTGTGCTGATTCAACCCAGCTGTCTTCCAGAAGTTCATCAAATATTCGTTTACTGTGATAACCTCTGACCAGCTTTCAAGACCCTTTATTCTTCTTGGTTTCGTGAGCTAAACTACTGTGGTTGAAAGTGTGTTCTACTTAATGGGGAAACTGACTGATTGGAATGTATCACTCCACAGCCTCATATAAATCACAACATTCTTCCCAAGCAGCAGTCTGGAAAGTTACTGTGACCTGGCAGAGCTGTGATGTCATCAGCAGGGAACTCTCCAAGGATGTAGAGAAAGGCATCTTTTCATCCTTTATTTCCCCAAAGCGCTGGCTTTTCTCTTGCACCTACCATGTTTATCAGAATGATAAATTAATAAGCAATGCTGGGAGAGACGGCCTGACGAACCAACCCCCCTTCCCCAGGATTTCGCCCACTTTAGACGCCTGACTCTACCGTGCTGTGTTTCCCTGCCAGAGGCAAGACTGGCAGCCTGGGATGTGCCAAGCGCTTGGCTCTAAACTGTAAAACAAAACAGTATAGGAGGGAATTTGCGAGTTAGCTGATTTGCAAACACCAGAGCAAGTCGCCATGTAAACATTTGTTTTTGTGTCTCTCGGGTTTTTCCATTTCTCTCAGGCAGCTACCTGGATGCCGCTCTGATGGCATCAAAACGTGCTGCTCTCAAGTTACTGGTGAACCCTTATTCACACTTAAAAAAACTCAGCTTCTTCCATGCCATTAAAAAGAAACCTAAAAGCCCCCACACAACAAAGAAACAAAAAACCTTCACGAACCAGTCATCACAGAGCATGTTAGTAAATATGGCAGGAGAGTCTCCAGTGTTGCTCAGAATCAATGTTAGGCCTACAGGTATGTCCCCAAGTGTCCATGAACATGTCCCTTGGAGGGAGCCATCACCTGGGGACCTGAATGAATGAGCAGCCACAGGCACACTCACACGGGGTGGCTGAGACTGGCCCATCACCAGTGCATCCCGACTTTAAATAAAAGGTACCTGGGAATATGTTCTATGCCCCCAGCTCCAAATGCCAGTTTACTGAATCATCACACAAAGCAGCATTTACTGGGTCTGAGCAAACGTATGTGGTTTTTGGACTCTTCACCGTAAGCCTAAAAGTTAGTTTTTCCGTTTACCCCCTTTTTGCAGTTGAAGAAGTGTGGGGTGAGTTCCACAGCACAGCCAGAATCTAAACACTGATTAAGAATACAGAACCTGTAATACACTTGCTTGGTAACAAAATAAAATAAAAATCCTGCGTGACAAAAGGCACTTAAAGGATACCACAGAGCACTGGTACTTTCCTCCTATTTCCCAAAAGCACCTCCCATTTAGCTTCAGTGTGACTGCTTATTTCCAACTCATTAAACTCCTGGTAAAAAAGGGAGAGTTATGATCAGGAAGTCCTGATAAATTGAAAAGAGGAAAAAAAACTAATTTTCTCTAAATGTTTTATAGTATCGCAGGGTCAGAAGGTCCCAACCAAGGTTATATAATCTAGTTCTTGCCCCAGGCAGGATGACTTAAGTCATCTCGAAGAAAGGAAGGTTCATACAGTTTGTAAAGATCTTCCCGAATTCCACCTACCTGAGAGGAAAGTTACAAGGATCACTTGCCTGTTGGAGGCTCTGCGAAATGCTCTGGAGCCTTTGAGAAGAGAGGCACAGCACAAATGCAAATTATTAACAATATAAATCAGCTCAATTTCCATAAGCATAGCCATGTAACCCGGCCAAAGGAATGTGTGAGGCGTGGAGCTACAGTGCAAGTCTTTGTCAGAAAATATATTTATTATGGATAGTGAGTGAAGTAAAGATGTCAGTATTCACTATCGAGGTTATATCAGCCAAGTTTGCCTTCATATGGATAAAAATACCTTATCTCACTTGTAATCATAAACATTATTCCAGTAAAAGAGGTACATTTTCTCTCCTTTTTGCCTGTATGATCGCCATAGTAAGTTAAAATGAAATTGCTCTTATATAAGCAAAGGAGAAAAGAAAGAGAGACAAAACCAACATCCCGCAGCCTAGACAATTCCACCCCGCACTGCTGCCCCAAGAGCTATGTTTTCTGATTCTCTCCTCGCCCCACTCCAGTTCATTTAGCCCCCCACCCATCCCACTTTGTTAGGGTGGAGCTTCACCAAATGATGGGGCTCGCTCAGAAGAGAAACATTTTATGGTCAGTGGAGGTTGAACAGAAAGTACCAAAAGGTGGAGCGGGCAGGCTGCCCTTCTCCTTCAATCGTCGTAAGAGGGTTTACTAATACTGAAGGGTGTCCTCTAATGACTGATGCCTGGTCAAGGCTTTGGCCCTTCAAAATGCCACTGTTCAAAATGTGGTATGATTCTGCTGAATCCATTATCTGGTGTCTCTCGAGTGGTCTTCTCATTAGTGGTCTTCTCTTCAAATGGGTTGCTTGCTTACTAGGAAAAAAAATGTTCCATCTCTGGAATTGACGTTGATGGTGTTTTGCTTGTTCTGAGTTTTTAGCCTCCCTTCTCAAGCATGCTCTGTAAGAGAAACAGAGAGAGTAAGTTTTACCACCAGGAGAGGGCAGAAAATAAATGGCAGTAACTATTCAGTATGATTTGTATTGCTTTTCAAATATCTAACTTTTACCACACATAGAAGAAGGAACATGCTTCCTGTTCTCAAAATACTGCTCCTTTGATCAACACCACTGCTTTATCACGGATGATCTTTAAATGACCCCTCTCACCACCACACGGGTTGAGACAGCCCAAATGGAAATGTCCAGAAGGAAGCTGCAGGCCTTCTGAGATCAAAGGTCTCTGGACACAAAGATTTAGGGTCAAAACTTTGAAAAGAATTGAAATGAAGGGGACAGAACAGAAAGAGTAGAAGGCAAACAAGATGGTTTCTTGGGTCTTAGGAGCGAAGCATGGCTAGATCCTACAGTGTCCATCACTGTAAGTTTCTGTAGAAGTCTGTGGAGTAGGTTCTATAAATTCCAGATATGTAGGTTTCTAAGAAGCCCTACGGATATCCTTAGGGCACAAAGAACATAAATGAAGGCAGGTCAACTTAGACATTACACACAGAGAGTGGTCAGAAAAACAACGATTCTGTCACACAGAAGGTAAATTAGAAAAGCAGACGCCTTTAGAGAAAACAGGAAAAACAAAGTAGGTGCAGGGGAAGATTCTGTAAGAACTTACACTGGACTGTGAGGCATGAGCGCCTTGTTCGTTGGGAAAATAACACACTAAGCACCCACCCTGTAAGAGACAGCACCTGGCAGTGTCACAGCGTCACAGTATCTCAGCTGTGCTCACCCGCTAGTGAATTGTTCTGTGTGAGTCTCTCCAATTACATGGATGATACGTTCTATAAATTCCAGATATATAGACAACCTCACTACATCATGCTTTATTAAATACGAAACGGAAGTCAGTACAAACCAGATCTATACTGAACCTATATAAGGAAATTCAGTTACTGAAGAAAGTGATCTCTTTATAAATGATGCTGAGGAGGGAGACCCAGGCATTTGGGATTCTCTTCCCCTCTGTCATCCACTGTGCATCTCAATAAAAGAGAGCAGGCCAGCTGGCAACTCCTGAATCTCCTTCCTGAAAACAATAGGCTAGGCCTTGGGGAAACTCTCCAGAAGGCACTATTTTTACTTAAAACAAGATCAAACTAGAAACCTTTTCACATGTGAGTCCTAAAACTGTAAACCGGAACCTTTCGTATGTGATTCCTGAAACTGTAAACAGAGACCTTTTCACATGTGAGTCCTAAAACTATGAACCTAAGATTCTTCCACGTGTAACATCTAAAGTATAAGCCTATATAAAGGCTGGACCTCCCTTTGTTGGAGGAGCTTGGCTGTTAGGCACCTATGCCACCTTGCTCCCAACTGAAATAAATTCCTTCCTCCTGTATTTGGTGTCCAAGAGATTCTTTCCCACGCTGCTCCTGCTACAATGCCACTTTGGAATTTGCATTTTGGGGGTTACAGATTCACTGCTTTCTTCAACACACTGATGGGAGGGCTTTGAACTGTCATCTGCCTGGCCAAGATTACACAGTTGTGCCCTGCTCTACAATTTTGGGCTCAGGTTTATAAGGATAACCACATGACAATGCACCTCCTTTTGAATATTACAAAATAATCTGCAGCCACGAACACTTAATGAAAGCAGCAGTTGGAGTGTTTTTCGAAAGTCTAGAGATTGTTTTCACTAATCACCTTGCAAACTCAACCAAATATAGATGGGTAATTTTTCAGCCAAATCATATCATGCTAAGAATGTTAGACTCTCTTTCAGGACAGACAAGATGGGGCCTGGCTGGTCTGAGGATGAGCAACCCAGTCTCACATAAAGACACTCAAAGAAATAACATTTTAATGACCCCTTTAACCACATTCACAAAATACCCTGTTACCCGCATTACAATTCTAATCCTCAAAGACAGCACAGTGGTTCAGCTGATTCGTGGTGACTCCTTGAGGACACGTGGGACCACAGGAAAGCACCAGGTCTGATCTATAAACATTTTGTCAAACTGTACTCACTTGCTACCAAAGGGTGGCAGAGGTGGTACAAAACCATCTCAATTCTATCATAGACATTCACAAACACAATGGCAGGCTGCATTTTTAAAAAGATAAATTCATCTGTCAAACATTCTGGGTTTTATTATCATATTCCAGCTCTGCGATGAAACCTGCTCCAACCCAGACTGCAGGGCCTTTGGCTGGAGGGATCCATAGGCCTGGTGAGGTCTGTGTTATTCCACCTTATAGGTTCTCCTACGGTCTCTGTATCGGTTCTGTAAGTAGCTGCTGTTGGGCTGAATTTCAACACTGCATAAATGTAACACTGCATAAATTAACATAGGAAATTCCCTAAAGAATGAGGGAAAAGCTTTGCAAGTTATAAAAAAATTGCTTCCTTCATTTAAGGGACTGCTAACACTTAATCTTAATGCGGAGAAAGAAATTCCTTGCTTTTGTATCATTTACGTATTTGGGCTTGCAGAAACTCCTTTTGTAAACAGCTGGGTAAATCACCAAAAGGACAGAGTGGTTCAGGCATGAACACTGCTCTTTTCCCAAGTCTTTCTCATTCCAGCCACTGAGGCAGCTCACAAATAAGAACAGCGCCCCTGGAGGCCTGAGATTGCATGTCACTTCCACTTAAAAAACGATCCTAACCACTTGCCTCAAATATTTTTGTTATGTAATCTCATCAACTGATTTTTGAATCACGGCTGTCTTGGAGGGGTTGACTATCATAGCAGTGTGCCAGCTACTGGCTGTGTTGATAATTTAAGAGAAATGAGGGCAACCCTGGGTTGCTAACCGATCATCATGAAAAGAATAAAAGCGGTTTGTTTTTTAAGATACCACTCAGAGTGCTTGTCTCTGGATGAGCTTACCCAGCACCTCACCAAGACTTCAGGCCTCATAAAGCTGGGTAGAGAAGCAGGAAGGTTTGTTTACTTAAACGTGGAAAAATGAAAGTGGAGATGTGTCCTGGTACAGACCTGGTCTCAAGACATGAGTTTACTAAGGAAGGTCAGGAAAAGTGGGGAGTGGGAGACACTGGAGCTTCAATGAGGAAAAAGACAGAATGAGAAAACTGTGCATGAGACAGGAAGGAAAAGTCATCTATAAATTGAATTTATGGGAAGCACAAAGCGAGCTTTGCCTGTGCACCAAGTACTGTTCTTCACTACCTGGAAATCTGATTAGCTAACTTATTTTGTTTTCAATATGTGTCTATTCCCTGCAGCAAGAGCTGTTTGTTCTTTGTTCCTCCTGCTTTGGAGGAAATACACGTTAACTTTTTCTGCCTGGATCTTGCTTTCTATCTCCTATGACAAATGCTCTGTATGATATTCAAATTAAGTTACAAGTAATTAACTATTTATACAGCTGGCTGCAATAACAGACAAAACACGAATGTACTGCAGTTCTAACTTTTGAAGGACGAGCACAAGAAAAGAAATGCCTATTAAGAAAAATGAAAATCTATTACCATGGTAATATTTCTTCTATTAAACTCAAATTTAAAAAAAAAGAAAATGTCACGAAGCAACGATTACTCTCAGAAAGTGGTTTAGAAAAGGATTCCTGTGACGGAAGAGGCTGGGGTAAGAAAATTTAAGTTTGGAATTTTGTTTGCTTTTGATGTGACCCTAAATTCAAAGGGCCGCCCTACCAAAAGCTGGGAAACCTATTATGAAATACCCACATGTCAGTCACCCTGTGAACCAGCATCCCAGCTGGGCGATTAATAAATGTCATAAGGTGATGATGATAAAGCAGCTTTCGAACACAATAAAAACATGCTCCTGGAGGGCTTCCCAGAAAGTTCACCTTCTTGATTATCTTTGTGCTCTCTGAAAGTGGCCACTGTGTACGGGAAGGAAGCCCACTAACTGAGAGAGGTAGAACCAAGGGAGGGTCTGACCACAGCTGTGAGCTAGCCAGGGGCTGGGGTCACCTACTGTTTCAATGGGAGCAAGAGAAGAGGGGAAGAGGATCTCTTTCAGGGCTTCTAGGCTCTTTCCACATCGTCTTCCAATATGTTCCTAAGGCTAAAGATTCATTTCTAGGGTTGGTCTGATGAGACCTCTGCAGGTAGCTTTGACCTGCAGGGAGTGACAGCTCCCCATCTCCCAAAAGATGGAAAATAAGGACTTGGCAGGACCTCTATAAGGCCTAAGACCTTTAATGCAATTCAGGCCAATGGGCTCTAAGAGCAATTTTTTTCAAACTTTGGGTAATGAGTCTCCTGGGGAATTTGGTCAAAGTTCAGATACCCAGACTTTCTGAATCAGAATTTCCAGGGATGAGTTTTGGGTGTGTACATTTTAAACAAAACCCTCAGGGGATTCTGATGCTCACCCACATCTGAGATCTGATACTACAAGGAAAATATCCTGGTTTTGAATTTAAGAGTGAGCTGTTTGGTCTGGATTCTGCCCTTCTACAGATCATTTAAATTTTCTGGAAGCTAATTTTTGCACATGAACTATGGTCCTTTTAGCTCCAACAGCCTGTAAGTCTACTAAATCATTTGCATCTAATGTAGAGTTCATCTGAAAACAATGATAACATATAGCTTGCTCTGGCAATAGGTTTTTCTTTCAAGAACCTTGATTTCTAAGCAAAAGCTACTACTATGTTTTCAGGACCCCTTCATACTCAAAATATGTCAGACTTAGGAGCACCGACTCCTGGTCTAATACAAATATAATTCACAGGGGAGGTGAAATGCACTGTCCCTCAGAAGGTGGACAGAAATTGTGCCAGGGCAAATTCCTCCATATGCACTGACCCTGAGGCTCTGACTTTGGAAGCCAACCAAATACTGGAGATGTCAATGATATTTCAGAAATATCTAGACAACTGGGTGCACTAGCCTTAAGGTGGAGAGCTGTCACATTAGGATCTAGCCTCATTTACTGGGTCCTGACCCCATGCTCCTCCCTGTGGCCAGGTTTCTTCTGACCTCTCCAAAGAGATCAGCAGGAAGCATGTAGGTCTGAGGTGGGGATGTCTCACAAGATGTCCTTATTGTGAGCTGGGCTCACTGCAGGCATGGCTAATGCCCTACTGCCTGCTTACTGACTGAAACTTCTGCTATGGTTTGGGGATCCCTGGCTAACCCATCATCTCACTTCAGGTCCCACACTGACCTCTGTCCCTTGGACATCTCCTGGGGTTGGTCCTTGCTTCTGGTTCCAGTTTGCCCTTGGATGTCAGGCTCCTGGTTCCTGGCTTCCTGCTCTGTTTTAAGAATCCCTCACCTCCCACAGTCTGTATGTCACAGGATGAAAGGCCTCATGATCCAGGAGAGGCTCACGGCTGGCTGGAGGGAGCCTGCATTTTCTAATGGCCTTTATTAGCCGGCAAAAAGCTACATTCTGCCAGCCAGCGCAGAGACAGCTGTTTTTCACTTCACTGACTTTGGAAAAACTGTGAAACTGTTTCTATTCCCTCCCAGTTCTTTCTGCCACCTTGGCTTCCCCAGGGTTGTCAGGAGTGTGAACCTCAAAGAAAGGGTCCGTAGCAGTGGGAGGCCAGGCAGCAGCACTCCCATCAGAAATGCAAGTGTTCTTCCCAAGTGAACGTTTAAGGTGGACAGCAACATTTAAGAGGCAAACGCACAAATACTGGAGGTCTCAAAAGAAGAGGTGCTGCTTTTATCAAATAGGCCGTGTCTCTTCATCTGACTGCGCCTATGAACAGGCATGCTTGCGCATACCACCTTTTGGTCTCTGTACATGAAAGCAGAATCAGTCCTGGAATAACAGAGCTAGATGGCCCTCATGGATCACCTCGTTCAAACCTTCAATTTATCAAAGCAACTGAAGCTCAAGTCACTATAATTAGATTAGGATGGTAGTAACAGCATTTCCCAGAAACCCCACCCTCCCAGTGAACACAGAATGTCCCATAAGGGTCCAGCCAGCTTCTGCACTTTCTGTCAATAGCAGCAGGGCTGGGAAAAAGCTGAAATGCTTAGACTAGCTCCTCCCAATCCAGCCTAGTTCTGCACGTAGATAGCAGAGAAGTGGTATGTCCCAGGGCACTGTTCCAGAGGTAATGCAGATGTGACAGCAAACACTTTTGATACCCTTCGCCTTTTTTAAAAAACAGAACTTGGGCACATTTTGTTTGACCCCTGAGCAAATACTATGGCTTCCCATTCCCCCTCCTCTCTATTTCTCCTGTAAGGCGGGTGTAGCAAGATAGAATGGGAACCAGGTATCAATGGTAAGAAGAGGTAATCCAATCTTGCCGAGCTTGAGAACGTTATGATGAGGAAGGAGACCCTTAATCGTCTTCAGCTTCTAAGGCCATTTCCCCATCAGCCTTCTACATTGCTCAAAAGGAGGAGTTAGAAGTCAGCCAGAGGAGGGACTGGTTGGCACCTCCAGCCAGGTTAAGGATAAGACCCCTACTGCTAACCACAATCCCATCTATAGGTCAGGGATATGGCATGGGGGAATCTTTCCAGAAGGCATTGTTTTTACTTACACCCGATCAGACCCCCACCTAAGTCACGTACCCCACGCCTACTTCATGGACGAAGACCCTTTCACTTGTAATTTCTAGAGCTGTAAGCCTTTAAAAGGGCAAGGAGTTTCTTTGTTGGAGAGCTCGGCCGTTAAGGTATTTTCACCTGCCACAGCTCCTGGTGAAATAAATCAGCACTTCTTCCAAGTTCGGTGTTTGAGAGGGTTGTCTGCGGTCTTTCCTACTTCAATGAGCAGATGTGAGAAGTAAAAGACAAAGAAGCATGTATCGGCCGATGTTTTCCTTCATTTTTAAATGCTGCATCTCATATAGCCAGCCGGTAGCTTTTAAGTCTTAGAAGTAATAATTATAGCAATTTAATATCTCTTTACCATCATGAAGAACACATAACTTAATATACTAGAAATAACGGTCTAAATGTCTCATGTCAACCCATAAGAAATCGTCTGAGAACAGCTGAAGAAAGACCAATGTGAGTAAGTGGAAAATAAGTAGAGAGGAGAGTAAGGCTACGGAGTATCTGGAAATTTTCCTATCAGTAAACTCTATTAGTCTCTAAGACAATGCCCCAGGGAACCAGTGAAAGGCCAATCTGATGAGTCATTTAAGAGTGGAGTGGACTTAGCCACTGGAATTACTCCGTGGGGGAAACCCTTGCACTGTGTGTCAGATATGGACAACACATCCTAATAGCTTGTTGTTGTGCTGAGTATTTTCCATGTTTAGCATGTCCAGCTTGTTCTCTGGATTTAACAGGAAACATAGGGAGAGTTGGCCCACGAGAAGCTGCTAAAATAGGCCGTCGGGACCATGTATCTTGCTGGAGTCTCTTCTAGCAACAGGGGCACAGTTGGGGTGACAAGGCTAGACTAAATTCACAAAGAGCAAAAGGACAACCTGGTATTGGAGGGAAAGTAACTGCTCATGAAACACTGATAGAAGCTCCTTCTGACCTCGTGGCACGATCTTAAAATCGAGCAGTGCCAAGCTGCCCCTTTCATCACAGGCTTCATCAACCCAATCCCCACGTGTGACCTTCAGATGCTGTCACCTGCTGGTTAGATAGTCCACAGTTCTTTGCCCTCCCTCTAGTGCTTTCACTTTCACTTACTGCCTTATTTCTGTATTAGTGGATAATGGCTGGATGCCCCTTCACAAACTTACCCACTCAAAAACCAATCGCCACTTATGTATTTTGAAATTTTTTGTTTCTACGGCAAGGTACATCTTGGTCTAGCTGTTAAATTTACTATCGTGACTTCCCTAAGTTTCAATGCTCTCAACTGGAAAATGGTGAAAATAAAACCATCTCTATTTACATCTCAGGTTGTCATAAAAAAAACAAGTACAAGAACGGATGTGTAATGACCTTGCAATCCTAACGACTGCAGAAATGCGAGGTGGTGCTACTTCTTGGTTCTCATCCATTTCAATGTTGCCCATCTTAGGAAAAAAGGTTTGAGGGCTTCTATCTTTTTAACATTAACTTGTATTATATACCTCCTGATAACTGAATACAAGAGCCATGAAAACCCTCCAAACATACTACCTGAAAATAACAGATTGGAGAGTGAGGGGGAAAAAGAGGGTCTCTTTTGAAATCACGAATAATAATTTGATGCTTTTGGCTGAGCTGTTTAGTAATTTAAGCACAATAATGCAACTGAGGAAAGAAGGGGGAAAATTAGATTTACTGAATACTTTATATAAAAGTAATCCTCACAACATTACCCCAATTCACAGATGAGAAAACTCAAGCCCCAAGGTCACAGAGCTAGTAAAAGGAGAGGGTACAAATTCAAGTCTTCCAGATTCGAACTCCCTAGTGTGCTATGTGGCATATTTGGTTTTGTCACAAGTTAACTCTGCTTTATCCTATAAATATACACCACTGATCTCACAGGGCTAGGTAGATGACTCAGCACAACCCAGACAGGCATGATGGGGTCGATACTACCAATGCCCCTGCAGCTGCCACTTTGGTAACGTCACAAATCACACAGTGGAAATAGGCATGTGTGTTGGAGACCAGCATTGAAATACACACTTTGTCACAGACACTCTTTTCCACTGACCACCACCTCAATAAGGCACTATTCTCAAGTTAGAAAAATCCATGAATCAACCTGTAAGTCCTAAGTCCTTCAGTTCGTATTCATATTGAAGGCCGGGGTTTGTTAAGAGCATATCAGAAGCTGTTTTCGACAAACAGAATGTACTAACTTAACATTAGCAACATTGCTTCTACCAAAGACCTTTAAAGAAAAGGATCCCTTGCATACTACTAAGAGTTATACAAGTGCTGATACAAGCAAGAAACAGAAAAAAAGCTGCAAGCCACTAGGCTTTTAAGGGCAACAAATGCTTTTAATAAATCTTGATTATATTTTTTCCACTAATGTTACTGTTATTTTCCAGCTATCCAGACAATACTAACCCTCCCGTCAGATATTTAGAGAGTTTAAAAATTTTACACCAAGTGATACTATTCTAACCAGAGCAAATTAGACTGCAGAAAGGCATGCTGTGTAACTCAAGCGCTAGATTTAGTTGGATTCGAAGGTCAAATCTATGGAGTTTGTCAGCAGAAGGAATCAAGGTTTCCAACAATTTCCGCCTCTCAGAACAACCTACACCCAACTGTTAAATTGGTTAAATGATAGGCAATTATGTGACCTGCTAGAACTGATAATTTGCTTCAGGGTTTATCATTCATTAGCTTTCTAAAGTACATAAATTAGACAAAATGCACGTCCTGTGAACATCATATTTTTCTGATACGAAGGGTCAAGAGGAGAATATGGCTGTGGTCTGTAAAAGCAGTGGAAATTCTTTTTTAAATGCTCTCTCTGGTTTCCCTTTCCCTGTCCAATTAGGTGAACTCTATCGGAAGGGTTGGACAGTGACTGAATGAGGGTTTTTTTTGCTGTTGTTTTCACCTGGCCCCCTGCATAACTCTACCCGCTGCTCTTGGGCCCAAAGCTGCCAGCTCTTAATCTGTATCCTCTTCGCCGGCCCTAAACAGTGGCCTAAAGGTATGAGGCATGACCCTGGGAACCTTATGACTAGAAGACAAAAGCTCAGGGCAAGTGGAGAAAAGTACAATCTTAGTAGAATCCTTTTTTCTGTAAATAAACGAGTTGAACACAAGGAAGATGTGGGCTCTTTGACAATGATCTGGGTAGAAGTTATGCCCGAACCGACTCATCACAGTAATTCTTGGCGGTGACGACTAGGGCTTACAAAACTTTTTCACACAGAGTGGTCCACCAAGTCCTCACCACTGCCTCAGGCAGTCCAGCTTTCTATTTGCCCAGTGCCCCCACTGGCCTGGCCGGCACACCTACCTGTTTGGCATGATTGACGCAGTGCATATACTGGCTGGCCAGAGCGGAACATTTGAGGGTCTGATGTGTGTTCTCACGGTAGCACTGGAGAATCTTGGCCTGCAGATCAGCACAGACTGGATGAGACTCATATCGCCTGAAAACAAACACAGGAACCGCTGAGACCAATGGTCTTCATTCAGAATAAAAATCAAGGTTCAAGAACGCATAAAAACGTAGTGTAAGACACAGGTGTTGCAAATGCAGAAAAAAGTTTAAGAGAAAGAATTCTCCTTAAACGTTAACACTGCTGTGAGTTAGTCCAGACAATGTAACCTTCCCTTCCAAATTGAAACCATATCAATGCTGCCAGAAGCCTGGAAGCCCTCAGTTCTCTCTTCCATTCCCACATCCACTTGGTCACAAGGTTGGAGATCCCCTCAGCCTGGTCCTCCTCGTCCACACTCGCTGTCGTTACATGGCTTCCAAGTGAGCCACATCCCGGATTCAAGAAACGACCTCCCAGCTGGTCTCTCTCTCAGCTTTGACACCCTCTACTCCTGCCTCTACATATCTTCCAGAGGGTTCTTTCCAATAGTAAATTGAAGATGGTATCTTTCCCCAGCACTTTCTACACAAAATACAAGGGCAGCCAGCTGGTTCCAGCTTCTTGACCAGGTTCCTGCCTACCCTATCGCCTTCACCCCTCAACCCTGCACACAGCCAGTGCCTGGACAAACCCAGTTCAGGGCTTGGTTCTTATACTCTCTTCATGTATCAAGAGAGCTCATGCTGCTCTTGATATTGGAAATGCTCTTCACCCAAACTCCCACCCATGCCTATATACCTGGAAAACACCTGCCCATCCTTTGCTACTTCATTCAAGTGTCAACTTTCATCAGCTCTGCACCCCAACCCTAGTACAGTCTGTCAGTCCCTTTATGATGACCCCATTGGTCCTATATTCACTTTTCTTGCCATGCATGTGACACTGACTACACCATCGTCTAATACAATTCAGTAACCTACATTTACTAGAAAGCAAATTCCAAGGACTGTGTCTTATTTTCTTTGTCACCTCAGCTATTTAGACGTGGAAACTCCTATAGGAGTCATGTAATACATTTACTGAATGAATACAAACGGATGCAAAGAAAACATTTTAAAGGCCCCCGAGTAAAAATTTTGCTAATTATACTTACAAATCTCAGATTTTAGTCAGACTGCTTTTCTGTGAATATGTGAGACCAAATGTAAATGTTTCCAAAAAGCTTATAATATATGCTTGAAAAATGATAATAAACCAAATGAATTATACGGACGAAAGTAAAATATTCTTGTTAATACAGCAGGGAAGTTTGGACTGTAAGAACTAAATATACACAGAGAAAAAACCACACTATTACTACCTTTAATCTAGAAATTCATATTTTTTCAAGTTAGTTTTAATACAAGAAGCTTCCAGTCTTTCTTGTCACTTCTATTTTTGAAATTTAAATTTGTTATTTCCATAGTAATCTTGAAATCACATTATTTTAAATTTAATGGGTTCTAAAAAAAAAAAAACCCTAGAGAACATAGAGGAATATTTCTCATCAATAAGGAAACCCCCTGGGTGACAACTTGTCTCCTCATTACTTTTATCCAGTACACTAAGCTAATATATATTCCGCTAGAATAGAAATGCAAAGCATGTTAGTGGTTCCCTGACTTCCTACTACCCTCTAAAGAACACAGACACACAGAGAAAAAAATATTTCAGCAAATTTTCTATAGCATCACTTTTACTTTTTCATTCATTACCTTACTGCTTTGTCAAATACCTAAGAACAGAATTTAAATCTAATCCCAGGAGTCTCCACGCTTTAAGATTTCAAACTTCAGACGTCTGTGAATTTTTCTGGACACAGATTTCCCTAATCCTTTACCGCGAACATCGGGATTTAAAAGGAATCAGCTGTGCTTCAAAGAGTATCGGCACAGATACCACTAACTAATTATAGCAAGACCTGCATCTGGATAAATACTGAATAAAATATGATTAAGCATCAGATCAGTGGAACCTAGCAAATACATGACTAATGACTAATAGCTCATAGGAAAGCAGGGTTACATTCTATCCTAGAGTTGACAACTAAGCGTGTCTCCAATGTGTCTTAGATTTAAAAGCAGGGGGAAGGAGGTGAGCAGGGGAGACTAGAACAACCCTGACCAGATATGCAGCCCTTCCTCATTAACATAGAGGAAAAGACTGTAAAAATGAGCATCCACACACCGCGTATCATAAAGAAGATAGTGTATTTTTTCCTTTAAAAAGACTACTCACCATGGGATAATTCACCTAATGTTATGGACTCCTTAGAAAGAGGGTTAAGTTGTAGATAAGCATTTACCCTGAGCTGAGCTATTAGTCATGCAAGTTAAAGTCCATGAGTTATTTGTGATTTGAAATGTGTCAAAATATACTTTTATCACCACAAGTCAATACTACTCACTTCCAGGGCTCTCGATTTCCTGTCTGGTGGTCTGTTCTGTGTGTGTGTGTGTGTGTGTGTGTGTGTGTGTGTGTGTGTCTTCTTCTGAAATTCTTTTTGTATACATTTCAATCTGTATTAATGATTAGATGGCAGAAATGGGGAAAGAGGGATGGAAATGAGCATAATTGTCCTCCAGTTCCTGGAGTAGACTCGGGCCGTTTTCTTGGATTAATCTGTAAGGGTAAAGGTTTGCCTCTGTATTGATCTGTAAAGCTTGTTATACTGCCCTAATGCACTGTTTTCACTTTGGGAAAATGCTAAATGAGATTGCTGTCTAACATTAGAAGGCCGTAAAACACAAGCCATGGCACCTTCCATTCAGGATAAAGGTTTCAAAAACATTTCCAATATGCATTATGGTAAACCCTCCAGATAATCATAGAGTCAGCAATTGACTTTTATTGACTGCTTTCATTCCTGCTGATGGAAAAAGCCCCTATTAGGCAAAAATAACAAAAGGCAGACTTGCAAGGTACTTAGGAAGGAAAATTAAATCTTAGTGGCAAAGGACAATTAGACAGGTTAATTTCTTTATATGTAAGGAAGAGGCAAAGAAATGGTGAGTGACAATGTTCAAAGAGAGATGAAATACAGATCTGGAGGACGTGAAACACTAAGAAGTGGGCAGATCTAACAGTTACTCAAAAACATTTTAGCAAGAAGAAATCGGTGGAAGAGTTAACCTTTGAAAATATTCATTTAACAAAAACAAGAAAAAAAATCCAGTTGTTGGTCACTTGAAACTACTGGGAACCTTTAATGGATCCTACCATATGTGCACACGTCTTTTTTTTTTTTTTTTTTGAGACAGATTCTCACTCTGTCGCCCAGGCTGGAATGCAGTGGCGATCTCGGCTCACCGCAACCTCTGCCTCCCCGGTTGAAGTGATTCTCCTGCCTTAGCCTCCTGAGTAGCTGGGATTATAAGGGTTTGCCACCATGCCTGGCTAATTTTTGTATTTTTAGTAGAGGTGGGGTTTCACCATATTGGTCAGGCTGATCTTGAACTTCTGACCTCGGGATCCACCCTCCTTGGCCTCCCAAAGTGCTGGGATTACAGGTTGTGCTCTTGTAGTCTTTTACTCGCAGTTCCCTTCCTCTCCCCTCATCTCCACCAGCACTAGCAGCCCTCCCTTTGGCCCTCCCCACCCCCGACAGTGGCACTGAAGGCCCACGGGGTTGCTGACAGTACCAAAGGTAGACCTGGTATCCCAAAGATTTGACCCAAGAAGAAAATCAAAGGAAGCACTTCCGGTAGGTATTCTGTAGCCTGTCACCAGTAAAACATTTTTTGGCTAATGTTTAATGTTAATATTCACTTAAAAGGCATCTAAAAATACATATCCAAGTATTTTTTCTCATTGTACTAACAGGTCTACTGTAGAGACTTTGGAAGAAGACAGAAAAGAATAAAGATACACATTGAGACTGTTTCTAATTTTTCAGTGCTTAAAAAACATGAAGGATATAAATTAATACTGCCATTTCCGATTATTTCCTTAGGAGACTTTCCTATAAGTTAAATTAATTGACTGAAGAGAAATGACAACAGTTTCAGCAAAAACAAAGCTGAGGGAGTATCCAGAACTCCTCTCTTGGGCCGCTATGACACAGTTACACTTGGTTGTCTGTTTTAAAACTATCTGATGGTTTCACTGCTGACTCTACTTTCAAGTCTCAGAAACTTCTTTCATGTGGGTCTGAGCTTTCCATTTCAAGAAAACTACTTACCCATCTTTTTAGTTCTGCTAAATGGCAAGGATAATAAGGTAACTTCAGAGAAGGAAAAAATATGGAGATAACACTCCTTACCCCACTCAACACTCAGAAGGCTAAAAATAGTCATATGATGACAATCGGTTTGCAGCCACACCTCCCCAGGCTCCAGAGGACACTGAAGTCACTCATAATGAGTATAGGCACTCAAAGAAAGGATCCTTTCCCTGTACCTGGACCAGAAGTACTCTGACAGAGTTCTACAGACACTATAATGAAATACCAGAGGGAGGGAGAAGAGAAGGAATGAGAAGGAAAGAAGGAGGGAGAGGGAGAATAAATATGAGAATGGCCTGTGAGAAAAGGAGAATTCTAATATTTTTAAACAGGTTTTGATAATGCATCCTTCATGGGATTAGGTTGTCTCATAAAACCATATTTTACACTAAAAGCAGACACACACACACACACACACGCACACAGTCATGGAATCAAAGCTTTAGGTCTAATTCCTATGGCACAATGCAAAAACTCTAATTTTTGTCTCTACCAACTTTTCATTAGCTCTTAAAACCAGTGATCGGGATTTCTGCTTTTCTTTTAAAACGCAAAACTAAAGCTACTAGGCACATTGCCAATATTGAAAACTATGTCAGAATTCACTTTTGTTTCTTTATCACTTACAATGGATCTATCGTAACATGCAATCTAAAGGAAGAAAATGTTTATCCGAAATGTACTATGTTGACTTTTTATATAATTTTACCTTAAATCTAAATATTCTGATATTTGTTTTCAGAGTAAAATGTAAATAGCCTCTAACAATGCAAGATCTGTAAAATTCAATTTTAAGCTTTTCTGACATTCTTAATGACGCTACCCATTTTATTTCCACGATATTTCC